GTATCAGGAGAAGTGTGGCCAGCAGGTCGAGGGAGGGGATTCTCCCCCTCTGCTCTCGTGAGATGCCATGTGCAGGAGTTCTCAGCACAGGAAAGACATGGACCTATTGGAGCAGGATCAGAGAAGTGCCTGTAAAAATGATCAGAGGGATGGAACACCTCTCTTACGAGGACAGGCTGAGAGATTTGGGGTGGTTCAGTCTGAGGAAATGGAAGGCTCCAAGAAGACCCTTTATACAGAGAAAGGCTGTAATAGGAGGGTTATAATAAACGTTGAGGACAGACTTTTTAGGAGGGCCCACTGCAACAGAAGAAGGGGTAATGTTTGTAAACTGAAAAAGGGTAGATTCAGACTACATACAAGGAGTAGGGTCTTTTTAATTTTTTTTTTTTTAAACACCAAAATGGCTGACACAGTGGAAGAAGTTGCCCAGAGAGGGGGTAGAGCCTTATCCCTGGAAACATTCAAGGTCAGGTTGGACAGGGCTCTGAGCAACCTGATCAAATTGAGGATGTCCTTGCTGATGGCAGGGGGGTTGGACTAGATGACCTTTATAGGTCTCTTCCAACCTAAACTATTCTGTGATACAGCCCCTTGTTTCACAGAATCATTATTGAAAGCACTAGTTCCACATGACTCAAAGTACAGGTAATTTCTTTTCTCCTAGTTAAGGTCGAGGATAATGGCTGTCATATGTGAGCAGACTTGACCTATGCATACTGATACGTTATTCTGTTAAATATTTAAAACCAAGGATAGCGTAACTGGAACCAGTAACACCACACTTCAGAACTAGAGTGTCGTTGTTAGGAAAAGGCTCAAACATATTGAGAATTGAAAAAATGTACTACTATACAGCTGATTTTAATAAAAGCACTGAATGTGAGCTAAGCACAGAAAGTAACCCTTAAAGACTTCCAAATTCTTAACAGCAAGGGTAATAACTGCCCCCATTCCTTAAGTTTGTACAGCAGACTGTATGGATCAGTAGCATTAATGCATGCCACTGAAATCCAGAGCAGCTAACTGTCAACTAACCAGCTGAATGACCCTAAATCCTGCCAGGTACTGAGCATTTACTCTGGAAAACAGCAGAGGCGTACTACCTGAGGATAAGACACACTGAGCTCTTTTGAGAAGGGATTTGCATTTTAGCCATCAAATGTGCCTGAGGCTTAATTTAAGGTATTTTTAGATTCACAGTAGCATTTATACGTGTAGCTGAATTCTTGAGGAGAATGCAGCTTTTAAAATGAAACATGATTATCACCAAGCTTTGTACAGTTTCACTGAATCTATCTGTACAAAATACTATTTATTCCTACAGGTATTCATATCTTAGAAATGTGGCACTAGTGCTCACCTCACTAATACATCATAAAAGCAGTACTCGGCAGGGACTCGTCTGCCTTTGTTTCTTGTCAATAGTGTAATAAAAGTACTAAGGTTTGTTACAGGCATAGTGTATACACCTACACTATCTAGGAAAGTACCTAATGTGGGTGAACAATTTTTGCCAATCGTGTAACTAGCACAGGAACTCCGAGTCCATCCTAGCAGTTTAGTGTAAGTGTACACTGAGTGTTCATTCCCTTAAAGACAGCTTCCAGTATTCTGACACAGGGTTTTCATAGACTGAAGACCAGGTCTGCAAAGATAGTTATCTACAATGAAACACCGGTATGATATAGGATCCTGGTCTTGGGAAACTACAAAAAGTAATTCTCCAATCTGGTTCCAACAGGCTGCAGATGCAGTGCAGGCAATCATGTTTATCCAAGTTCACCACGGAACAGCAGCATTTCTTATCCGTGGCTTCTGGTGCTATACTTACTAGTAGTTGAGCGAGATCCGCATGTGCAGCTTCTAATCTGCGCTGGCAGTCTGGAATCATCATTCTTGACTCTTGCAAGATCTCAACCTGCAAAAATTAGAAGCTAATGAAACAAGAATATATCCCAGAAAGGAATGTTATTTTTTTAAGACAAGACTCAGTCTAAAAAAATGAGTAGTCCAGTCATCGTCTAGGAACTTCAGAACAGTTGTACCCCTTTCCCAAACAGGCTCTCTTAATAAAAGCCACTCACTTAATTACTTAAAACTCTGTTCATCTGCAGGACACTTCCATTTACTTTGTGCTTAATTAAACCAAGTATTAAGTACAAAAGAGTACATAGAATAATTTCTACCTTAGAAGAAAGTACTGCCTGGTAAGCTTTCCGTACAGCATTCGTTAAAAAGGATATTTAAAACAAACTTTCTCCTGCTGTCGTGAAGCAGCTTCATCCAAAATGGGATCAGCTGGTTACATAAATATCTCCTGCATCTTTTGGGTAATAAAGAAAAACAGTGTTCAGATAATACCACATAGAGATAATTACTGCATGAAAAAAGTTATTGAGTTATTGATCACATTGTGTGCACACTGCAGGAGGCTCTGACTGAAAGACAAAGGTAAAGAAAAATGAAAAGCTAAGACCAGCAGGCTCATATTTTTGATGCTTATCATGCATAAAAAGTTATTACTTATCCTTGTGCTTCATTTTAGGAGAAAGATTATTCTCACCATGCATTTGGAACAAAATTACTAAACTGGCACCCCACTGAATCTGAACATCTTGCCGCCTCTTACAGAAAAGAACTTCAGGTTTAAACAAGGGAACATTTATTTCATGGAACATTTCTGGATCTGAAATCCAACTGCTGAGAAGAAAAGGTGTAAAGAGTTGTTCAGTAATGTTAAACCTATTTAGAAATGAAAATCTGTTAGGTATTAAACCTTTTCTGCATTCAGGATAACCTGCCTCAGAGGTGTTCCCCTTAAATGGCTTACTTCATTCTGTCATTCCTGTGTTGTACTCTCCTCTCAGTATTGAGGCTGCTGCCCTGAGGGGTCACTGCGGAAGGGAGGAGAAGCTATAGCTGAGAATGGATTTGTGCACACAGGAAGGCCTTACGTAGTAACACTTTATCACCATGTTCTTAAGTGTCATATGTTTAAGATCTTAGTTCAAGTGATTTTTTGAGAGAGGGTTTAGAAACTTTGTTTTGAACTTTCTTGCAGAGAATCTAAGGCAAAACCTGTCTGACAAAGCAAAGATGGGTGACAAACATGTTTGGCGGGTTGGGTTTTTTTTTGTTTTGTTTTTTTTAAAGTTACACATCCCCAAGTGCTAGTTGCTATTACCACTTTTCTTGTAAGCATTCAATGTTGGACTGCATTAAAAATAAGACTATCAGCTCTGTATATCACACTTCCAGCAGCGAATGAATAAAGGTTTGTAACTTCCACAGAATGAGATGTGCCATAAACTGCATGAGATGATGCCTTCTGCTTTATGTAGCAGAAGTTTGTTCTGTAACAGATACCTACAGAAGTGAGAATATCCAGTACTTACTTCTTTGGGCCAGTACTGCTAAACAGTTTTGTGAAGCCGGTAGGTGATATGAAGAGTAGTAACTTACTTGGTATGTGCCACTCAATAAGCGATCTGGGAAAGCGTAGGAATCTACATTCCAGGCTGCTCTAAGAAAAGAGCCAAACCACTCCAGATTCGAAGCAGAATTTGGCTGAGATCTAAAGGGGTGTCTGAGTTTTATTTAAGTTTTCCTGAAGTTATATAATAATAAATAAAAACCAGAAGAATGATAAATTCTGGAACTATATTCAGTAGGCACAAACTGTTGGGAGATTGGAACAGAAGTTTTTTGGAACCAGTATTATTAACTGATTACCAAACTAGCTATGCAAATTTTGCTATCTTCTGCATAAACTGCATTTTTTCAAGTAATGCTGATAATCTGAGATAGACCATTTACTGTTACAAATGTAACAGGAAGCAAAGTCAAAAGCTCAAATAATTAGATGAGCTTTAGGACTGGAGTTTAAGGTGTTTGCTCTCCCAATTCTATCAAACTTTGACTGAACTCTAAGAAGTTTAAATTACAAGCAGGTCACAGAGCAAGTTATTACATGAAACTGATCTAAAGTTTGCAAAGAACCATAAACACCTGCATGTTTCCATGAATTACAATGCCAAACAGAGGTATTAAAAAAACTAGAGTAACTGAAGTGCATCTAAAAGTGTTAAGACAAAAGCAATAAAGCACGAAAAATGCATATGGGGAGAAAGCAAATTGATTTGTCATCAGTAAGTGCACATAGGACCAAAAGAGCTGTTTTATACAGTGAGGATGAGGCCCCCTCTCCTTTAAGTGTACCGAAAGAGCCAGTAAAACAAGCCACTTCGGCCAGGCAGATTTCTAGTCAGCTGTCTTCCAGGAATGAAGGTATTTTACTGAGGGAGTATCCTTCCAAAGAAAGTAGGTTCCTCAGACGTGGTGGAGGAACTCTGACCATTGGGGTGTATTAGCTTATTTACTAAACGCGATGTGGATGTCAAAGAACCGGTGTGCATAATGTACTATCAGTAGCCTTCAATCTGTTTTCCCTAAGTTCCAGACTGCCGTGACAGATAAAGGAGAACAGGCGCAGAGACACAGATCCACCTGCCCTTTGCTTAAGTGGAAGGACACCATGACTGAAATCAGACAATTGCTTTACACATCCAGAATAGGCACAAAGGCCAAGCACAACCCTAAGAAACAGCTGAGGAGGTGGTGCCCAAGGCTTTAAACATAAGCAACTTCTGATTTTTAGCAGGTCCCGCAGTGGAAGTTCAAAGTTGCCATTTCAACTTTAGGCAGATCAAAGCTACTCACGAGGACGATTCTCTAGTTTCTGGATCACTCCCAGTCACTTAAATATTTTTAAGTGTAAGAATACAATTAAATACTGCTGCTTATGAGTGTTGATACTGAGAATTCTGCAACAGGAAGCAGTTCTGCTCAGCCTGACACGTATTGTGTAATGGGGACAACAGTTTTATCAGCTTCAAAAATACGTAAGCGGAGTTGTTTTTTGTTCCCACCCCCCACCAGAGCCACATCTAACCAAGAGATTTAGAGACATGCAGATCCATAAATTACTTGAAAACAAGAAGAAAACCTCTATAGGGCTCTGTGTCTTTCCTTGACGGCCTAATGAACTGGTCACAGGGTATAGTTATAATACTGCTTATCCCAGGAGTGGTGTTCTAAACACAAAAGATAGGGTAAAAAAAAAACACCCAGAGAAATGTGAATGAGTCATACGCATGAATTGTATACACACACAAGTATCTATTCATGCTTTTAAATACTGCCTCATAATCACTTGCCCTTTGACTGTTGCACAGATAATCCTAACAACAGTATGGATCAACTCAAAGATGGTGGGGAGTAAAAGAAAAAAACATGTAAATTGGCTTGCTAAGAAAGTGCTACTTGTATGACCTACTTTTCATCAGAAGTTTAGTAAAAAACTTGGAATCCACTGACTAATTACAGCCATTGCTGATGGAAGGACAAACTCAAAAGGAAAAAGGACATCTCTAAGTATCATGAACACCAGCGGTTCAAAAATGAATAATCCTACTAAAGAAAAGACGGTAGCACAAAGTGAAGAGTGATGCTAAGACTACTGGTTGGTTAAACAACGTATTTGTAACCTAAATCCACAGCATCATATTACTTCTGGCCTCACTGGTGACCAAGGAACATCAGGGCACAGTGCACTGCGCCAGGATGGTGGCACAGGGACATAGGGAGTAGGACAACATACGTCACGTAGGAGAAATTCACAGATGCAGGATACAAGAGCACACCGCAGTCTGTTGCAGGTGACTTGTCAAATACATTGATGCAAACACTTCCAAAGGATCATGAAGAAAACCTTGCAGTAAATAATGGGAGAACATGGTTTTGTTTCTATAGTGCTCGAGTGTTTCAAGAACTGAAATGGCCATATCGACCATGAACCACCTGCCATCTGTAGGAAGAAAGCTGGAGGAGAAAACCCTCCAGATCTAATGTCTCAGTGTTTCATGTGAGTATTCAACTCCTCTCAGGTGAGTGACAACCCTGTTTCTTCTGAAGCCCATCACTTTAGGGCACAAAAGGCTGAAAGGTTCCTTTGGTCTTCTTGGAAGAGAGCTTGTCATTGGATGTTTTCCACTAAAGAACAACTGTCAGGTTTTCTTCATTGTCAGTGGGGGGTGTGGGGGTGTGGAAGGAGAACACCACATGACTCAGAGGACAGAAGCACAACTCTATGTCCTCCACTGAAGGAGTTTTAAAAATACACTGTATTGTGTAACAGATATTGCGCCTTTCAAATTAACTTGGAGGATGATAATGGAGTTATCCACTAGAGGAAGTGGTCATTCAACCAGCGTTTAAATAGACATTTAAAAATGAAAAAGTTAGGCCATTACTATGTTCCTTTCAGTGAGGCCTCATAGCAAGATTAGCTACAAATCCTCATCTTCCAAAACAATTTTCCAAACCAATATACATTGTTTCCAAATGTGTTTCTTTTTAGCCGTTTCAGGAAATACTCTACCTTTCCCTCAATAAAGCAAGAGAATATTGCTGTTTTCTCTAATACTTGTCAAGAACTGTATTTGCAAGATGAACTTAATGTACTCTTTGGCATGCTGATACTAATTTCTATGTGAAATCCTCTGGATCTTTCATTCAGCATGGAAATGACATTGCTTGAGAAGTAATTTGGAACTGTAGGATAACTTTTTAAAAAATGAAAATCTATCATTTATCAGTAAAAATGCTGAAAGTTAACACCACCTCCAGAGTGTATCTACAATCCCACTAAGAGGAAACAAGGAACAGATACCTAAGACTTTTCCCACACTTAAACACCTCAAGATAGAAGCATTAACTGTGAAAGGATGTTTATGTATAAGACACATCTACAACTGCAGAAATACATAAACCTACTGATTACTATCATTAGTCTGCACTCATGAGTGATTGCAGTGAGAAAAGTTTCTATTACAGATGAAGTATTATGAAGCTTTGTGTAAAGTCTTCCTGTATTGAGCATCATTACAACTAAGGCTTCATTCCAAGAAAATCCATGTGGCAGTACAACTGCACTACTTGCTGCTACTAGTCAGGGTTCTTCATGACCCTCTACAGAAATTATATGCAGAATTCGCACCTGGCAGGATACATCCAGAGTGTCGTAATATTTTTCCTAACTTCTACAAACCTGATAAATTTTGTGTAAGATATGTCAGTTTTTAGTAAGATGTTTTTTAATTTAGT